CAGCAGTGTTGTCTACAGAACACCTTGGGAACCAACCTCAGCACTAAGGTGACCTTGGAAACATCAGAACTTTTCCTCCTTAAATTACCAACTCAACAGTCAGAAAGAGTTCCAGCCTGACCAGGTGGTTTCTCGGGCAAAGGCACTTGCCACCAAGCCGGGGTCCAATCCCTGAATACTGCATAGTGTAGAGAACCGACTCCTTTGAGTTGGCTTCTGACCTCCCTATACGTGCCATGGGGCAGACACACATGAATCAAAATAAAATAAACGGTGAAAGTAGCTAGTACTTATTGCAGTAAAATGGTCAAAAAATGAAGCTTTTCTCTCTAAACCTGACCAGAGCTGAGAAGGTGACACAAACTTCTTAAGAGTTTAAGAAATCGTTGGGTGGTGGTGGCACACGCCTTTAATCCCAGCACCCGGGAGGCAGAGGCAGGCAGATCTCTGTGAGTTCAAGGCCAGTCTGGTCTACAAGAGCTAGTTCCAGGACAGACACCAAAGCTACAGAGAAACCCTGTCTTGGGGAAAAAAAAAAAAAAGAGTTCAAGAAATCGGTATTTTTGTCTAGAGAGGAGGACTGAAGTTTGGTTCCCAGCACCCATGTCAGGCAGCTCGCAACCACTTGTAACCCCAGCTCCAGGGACTCCAACCTTCAGCCTCCGAGGGCTCCTGCACTCATGCACACACAGCACCCTCTCTCCCTCCCCAGACACAGTCAAAAATAAAGTCCATCTTCTAAACGGAAACACACCACCGTTAGGAGAGAAACATGGACCTGGAGCAACAGAGGGTTCAGTCTGGTGGTGTGCTGTCTATTGTGCATAAAAGCTGGGTTAGTTCCCAGCCCTGCATGAACCAAGCCTGTGGTTCATCTCCATAATCCTAGCACATGCAAGTGTAGGCAGGAGGACCAGAAGTTCAAGATCACCTTCGGTTACATAGTGAGTTCAAGTGGGCTACCTAGTCTCAAATTCCCCCCCAGTCCCTTTTCCAGAGATTGGTCGTCAGAAACCTGATGATGTGACAGACCACAGAAGCCACCTTCTAGGGTATGAACCTAAGGGAGGACAATGCTGGGTTCAAGGCTAGAAGTGGATGGTTTGCTGCGTCAGACTAGTGACAATGAGTGGGATCAACCTTGACACTCTATTTCCCAAGGGCCCATGCAGGACTGTCTCCAAGGAACTTTCTTCAGGCTTCATGGGGCCCCAATGCATGGCCAAATGACTAATGGGGGAAAGACAGGAGGATAGCCTCTTTCTCCACAATATTTGAATCAGTCCTTGGAAAGGCCTGGGAACCAAACCAAAGAGAAACCCTGTGAATGACCTTGTCTCCAGAGGGTCAGGTCAAGTGCACCGTTCTTCATTCTGACCAAGGCACCCATTCCAGGACCCCAATCCCAGTGGCATTCCATGGCCAGAGGCGGAGCTGTCGTGATGAGAGATCTTAGGATTGCCAACATTATCCAAACGTGAAGTATGAATTTTGGGTGGAATATCATGTCCACATTCTATGTCTTGGCTTTGGCTGTGAAGCAGTGGCCCACGAGCGGCAGAAAACACTCCCCTAGGGAGCATGTACAAATTATCTAATGTGACCTCAGAAGTGAATGTGCAGGGGGCACTGAGAAAACCCATCAAGATACCACTGAAGAGGGGCCTCTCTGCAAAGTTGGTGCAGGCTTTGTTTCTGCAGCTCTGGAGCCTAGTTCGCAGCCTGAATGACCATATGATTCTCAGACACTCCTGTCCCAACCATCTGCCCCCCAAAGATAAAGAGAATGTGCAAACTCGGGAGGTAAAAATTTATATGCTTCAATGCAATGCCCATCAAAATCCTAGCAAAATTCTTCAAAGACCTCGAAAGAACAGTACTCAACTTCATATGGAAGCAAAAAAACTAGGATAGCCAAAACTATCCTGTACAATATAAGAACTTCTGGAGGCATCACAATCCCTGACTTCAAACTCTACTACAGAGCTACAGTACTGAAAACAGCCTGGTATTGGCGTAAGAACAGACAGGAGGACCAATGGAACCGAACAGCAGACCTGGATATCAATCCACACATCTTCGAACATCTGATCTTTGATAAAGAAGAAAAAATATGAAATGGGAAAAAATAAAGCATATTTAACAAATGGTGCTGGCATAAATGGATATCAACATGTAGAAGAATGAAAATAGATCCATATCTATTACCATGCACAAAACTCAAGTCCAAATGGATCAAAGACCTCAACATAAAGCAGTCACACTGAACCTCATAGAAGAGAAAGTGGGAAGTATACTTGAACGCATTGGCACAGGGAACCACTTCCTAAATATAATCCCAGCAGCACAGACACTGAGAGAAACAATTAATAAATGGGACCTCCTGAAACTGAAAAGCTTCTTTAAAGCAAAGGACATAGTCAACAAGACAAATCGACAGCCTACAGAATGGGAAAAGATCTTCACTAACCCCACATCAGACAGAAGTCTGATCTCCAAAATATACAAAGAACTCAAGAAATTGGACACCAAAAGATCACATAATCCAATAAAAAAAATGGAGTACAGACCTAAACAAAGAACTCTCAACAGATGAATCTAAAATGGCTGAAAGACACTTAAGAAAACGTTCAGCATCCTTATTCGTCAGAGAAATGCAAATTAAAACAACTATGAGATTCCATCTTATACCTGTAAGAATGGCCAAGATCAAAAACACTGAGGACAACTTATGCTGGAGGGTTGTGGGGAAAAGGGAGCACTTCTGCATTGCTGGTGGGAATGCAAGCTGGTGCAACCCCTTTGGATGTCAGTGTGGTGATTTCTCAGAAAAGTAGGAAACAATCTTCCTCAAAGATCCAGTAATACCACTTTTGGGTATATATCCAAAGGATGCTCAATTGTGCTACAAGAACATGTGCTCAACTATGTTCATAGCAGCTTCGTTTGTCATAGCCAGAACCTAGAAACAACCTAAATGCCCCTCGACTGAAGAATGGATAAGGAAAATGTGTTACATTTACACAATGGGATACTACACAGCAGAAAAAAAATGACAGCTTGAATTTTGCAGGAAAATGGATGGAGCTAGAAAATATTACTTTGAGTGAGGTAACCCAGACACAGAAAGACAATTATTATATGTACTTACTCATAGGTAGTTTTTTAACATAAAGCAAAGAAAGCCAGCCTACAAACCACACTCCTAGAGAATTTAGACAACAATGAGGACACTAAGAGAGACTTACATAGAGTTAATCTACATGGGAAGCAGAAAGTAGAAAAAGACAAGATCTCCTGAGTAAATTGGGAGCATAGGGACCTTGGGGGAGGATTGAAGGGGGAGGGGAGAGGCATGGAGGGGAGCAGAGAAAAATGTAGAGCTCAATAAATGTCAATAAAAAAAATGTATGCACTTCTCCACATCTTTTACGCATTAACGACGGCAGAGGATGCAGAGATGGCTCTGAAGTTACAGAGCTTGTTGCGTGCATGAGAGGACCGGAGCTCAGATCCTCAGAACTCATGGTGTTAGGTGGTGTGGAAAGCCACTTGTATTTCCAGCTTTAGAAGAAAGAGATGGGGACTCCAGAGCAAGCTGGCCAGGGAGACCAGCTCAGCGGGGGAGCTTTGGGTTAGACTGAGAGACCCTGCCTCAATGAACAAGGTAGAAGGACAATGGAGAAAGATTCCTGATAGTAACAGCAAGCTTCCACATCCAGGTACATGCCTGTGCACCCACACACAGAAAAACAGGCATATACATACATGAAACCCCATGCACATGCACATAAAAAGGGGGGAAAGGAAAGGAACACACACACAAGCTTGGTGTGTTGGCACATACCTGTCATCTTATCAACCGGGGAAGCTAAAACAGGAGGATTACCACAAGTTAGAGGCTGACCAGCCTGGGCTACATAGTGAGGACCTGTCTCAAAGCAGTAAGAACCAGGGAAATGGAAGAGTGGGTGAAGGTGCCATCCATTTATCATGATTGACAGCTGAACTCAACCCCCAGAGCCTCAGATGCGGGAAAGAGAAAGCCAGCCCCCACACATTGTCCTCTGATGTTCACTTGCACTGTGGCATGTGTCGCCCAACACGAAATCAATCTATAAAATATAATTAGCTAAATAAGTGCACACACAGGGTCCATCCAGAAGCCAGCACACCCTCTAGCCTCCCTCCTTATTTACTCTTAATTCCCTCTTGTCTTCGGGACCCTGATGGCTCAGAGCAGCTGGCTTGCCCTCAAAGCCCCACACACCCTTAGGATCAGAGCTCAGGAGTGTGCAGTGGCCATGGGCAGCTGTTTGCTAATTACTCAGATGCAGGCCATATCTCCTGGCCAGTGGAGTTGCTAGTCTCATGTGGACTTTAAGACCCCTTTGATACACAACAGGACCTCAGCAGCGCTTGTCAGGTGATCATGAACAGCTTGGGTGAGTTAGAGCAAACCAGCTCCGAAAGACAGGTTTCCTTAAAACCCCTAACATGTTCATTTGGGAGTGTGCCCTTGGCGTGGCTGTAGGGACTCGGTGCTCAAGGACACTTCCCTCCACACCGAGAGGTAGTCTGAGTTGAAGGTGGAAGGTGTTCCAAGAAACCTGGCTGTCAAGCACAGCTCGGCAGGGAACAGCCAGGCACAGAGAGCTATTGTGGGAAGCCATGTCTGTGGTGGCCCTGGCCTCTGCGCAGAAGCCTTGGAAGGGGCCCGTGTGGCTGTGTGCAGCCTTGCTGTGTGGACCTCAAGGCTGGCTCAGGCAACCCTTTTTGATCTCCATGTGTTCATTCTTCACCGTATGACCAGGACCCAGTGTGCTTGGGTCCCCCCAACAGCAGCCCTCTCTCGAGCGCATTCCTTTTGGTCATCTCAGTTTGCTCAGGGAGGGGAAAACCTGGCTTCCAGATGGGCCCTTAAAAGGGTTTTCTGTTAATGGGGCAGCTGGCAAAAAGAGAAGGCTTGTTTGCTCCGATTCCTGTATCATCAGCAATGTTTATTCAGTCTCGGACCAGTGCTCAACCTTGGATGCTAGGCTGTAGAGAGGATAGGGTGGAGGGGGTAGCTGCTGGGCAGGAGAGGGCTGGCAGGTCCTCAGGGCTGCCCCCTGACAGGGGCCCATCTCCCTCCTGGCTGAGAATTTCTTGATCTGCAAAACCAGGATTAACAGTCTCACAGTCACAGCCTCTTTGGAGCAGTTAGTGTGGTGAGATTGACCCCACCGACTCAGAGGTGCTCCTGGAGGATGGGGTGCAGCTGTCTGAGTGGATTCCACCTGTGGCTGCAACCTCATGGGCATCCCTGGTGCTCAGGGTCCAGGGCACCGGGGTACATTGCCAGGGATAGGAACGCACACATAGAACTTCTGAAGAGAGGAGAGTCTTAGCTCAGCTCCTTGCTCATGAAGACACCTGTTCTCCCAGAAAGAGAGCTTTTCATTGTCACTTTGTTATCTGCCAGTCCAGGGGTGATTATATGACAACGTCTCAGGCCAACAGAACTGCCCCATTCAAGATGTGGGTGAGCAGTGTCCCCAGAGAGGACGGCGTCACCCTCAGGTCTGATCTCCCGCCTGTCTGAAAGTGACCCCGGTGGCGAGGGATGAAGGGTGGCCCTCTGTGCTGAATAGCAAAGTCATCTCTGGCCCCTGGGAAGCAGTATGACGAGGGCGGGTTAGCGATGACTGAGCTCAAGTGCACAACTTCACCTGGTGTCCTTCTGGGGCACAGAGGGCGGAAGCAGGGGGCTCTTTCTAGCACGCGAGGTAGGACACCAAGCAGAGGCACTGAGATTCCTGAACAGGGACAGTCAGTCCTTCCCAGGCAACACCTTCCCCTTCGGGCTGCCACAATCAGCAGGCCACAGGAAATCAGTCGGAGCAAACCTTTTCCTGGATGACTCTGGGGGTCTATTATGGGAATGGAACCAAGAAGATAAGGAAACACCAGAGTCACACAGAAGCCCCCAATCAGCCACTTTCAGACTTCCCCCTACCCCAGAGCTGTCCCCAGGACTCAGATGGAAACTCCCCAACTCCTGCTTGGCAAATGAAACAATGCTCAGGGGCACCTGCTGACTTCACCCACCCACCCCCCACCCCGGATCCTCCACTCGGAAGTCACGGAAGTTCCATGAAGAACTAAGAGAAGACTGTTGAATTACAGCATTCGCTTGTGAATCAGGAGCCAACCACCCTCCTAACATCTTAGCAGGAGAATGCCATCGGAGAGGCCGTGACGGGTGACTTAGCAGGTGTGGGCAGTCCCTCCGATGGACCGAGCACCTTTCCGACTGCACCCTGCTTCCCCGCGTGTCTCTAACTTGAAAAGAAAGTTCCAGAGAGGAACTGGAGGATGTGGATGGCTTCCCAGCTCTACAGAGGAGCTTGGCATCTTGCTCCCCTGAAACTGAAGTGCCCGTGGAGCTCATGCCATGCTGTGTTCCTCCCATGCTGCACTCCTCCTCATCCGGCCTGCAGTCACAGACCATGAAGAAACCTGGCCACCTCTTCGGGACATTGACACCAGCCTCTTGAGCCAGGATTTCTCTCACTAACAGACAGACATATGAGGATAC